TCTTATAAGGACACCAGTCAGGTGGATTAGGGTCCACCCACATGACCTCACTTTACCCCTCAAAAGGCCCAGTCTCCAAATACAGTCACATCCTGAGGAATAGGGTTAAGACTTCAACATATGAAGTCAGCCCTTAACAATGCTGTTGCTTCTCCCTTCATGATACGTGGGGAGACCTCAACTCAGAGCAAAGTCCCCTCACCAGTTCACTGAGGGAATGCGGGATTCAGGCTGATCCTTTCCTGCGATTTGCCAGTTTCCAAAGTTATGTGTGACCAGTTTCCAAAGCATCCTGCAGAGGCGATAAGTGAGCCTTTCTCTGAGTATCATTATGAATTTGTGGACTGAAGAATCTTTGTCATCTCTGCCCATTCCAGCTATGCTACTCACTGTCGCTCTTATCCTGTCCAGACAGCCCAGGAACCCTTCTAACACCACCCTGGTGGTTTCTGAGGATGTCTTATTTTCTTCTAGGACAAGATGCTCTGGGATCTTTGTGTATACTTCCTGCCCTGGATCTGGCCATGCTCTCAGACACAGGTGTTTGGGGCCAAACTGGACCTGCTTGATGCTGGGGACGGTGGCGGTGGCTTGTCCTGCATGGAAGGTGAGGAGGCTACAGGGTGGGACAGAGGGGCTTAGACAAGTGCCTCACTTGTCCCATGGGGCCTGCCAGATTCCAGATGGTTGGAAGACAATGAACACCCTTCCTATCTATGCCACCTGAGCTGGGTTTTGGTTACCTACAGCTGAAGGGGTTCTAACGGGCACCAGGGAGCCCTATGAATGGAAAGAGAGGTATGGCAGGACAGGGCCAGGGAGGAGAAAGATGGTTTTCCTGCTAAATCTCCTAAATCTCCTCTCCCTCAGCTGCCTATCCTTGTGGGCAAGGACGCTAGCTGGGGTGGTGACTTTAGCATCTGCAAAATCTTCTCGTTTCCACAAAGGTGCTCTCTGGGGGCAGAGTAGCAGCCTGAAAGCACAGAGATACAGAGACTTTCTCTAAGGATGGAGTGAGAAGCCCTAGTGCCTGGCCAAGTTCTCAGTTCAGAAGGGTTTGGAAGGCCATGGGTCCAGAGCTGCTCTCCTGTCTGAGAAGGTCCTGGCACAGGCCCAGTGCTTGAGGAGAGAAAGCCTCTGAACACGAAACTGCCAGGTGGCATTCAGATGTGGGGGGCACAAGACTGTCTAGTCAGCTGCCTGGCCCCGGGTATGGCTTGCAGCAGGACCCCCAATGCCTCCCCCTCCTGTGGGCACTGACCACTGTCAGGACAGCATGGAGCATGCACCACCCTTTACCTGTGGTTGCCCCTGCACCATGAGATTCAAAAGAATTGAGTGGTGCTGCAGGACAGCCTGCTTATCTCCCTGCACTTAAAGAGAATGGGTTTTCTTTTATGGAGTGGGGCACTGATAGCCTCATGCACCATGGCTTTTTAGGGGATTGAGAGTCCAACAGCCAACAGTGATTTATTTCCAGACAAGGGGGCCCAGTTGGAAAGAATTCATTTCTGTACTTTTGCCTTTCCCCAGATATAAGGTACTCATCACTGCTGAAAGAAAGAGCACAATCCAGATGGAACTGCTAAAACATCACATTGCCCCCTGATTCAGAGCTGGCTCACCAAACCCCCACCAAACACCTCGCCCCCTCCTTCCTTTGCTGTACTCCCTACTTGGACTGCTCTGCAGCTGGGAAACTGCAGGCGTGGAGCTCAGCTTTGGTTATCAAGAGGCCAGCACAAGTCCTTGGGGAAGGTTTCCCCCTTAAATGAAAAGTTAAACTTTCATGAAGAGAAGGTATTTGGATGTGATGGCTGGAGTGGCAGCAACCATTTTGTGCACTATGAGGTTAAAACCACAGGATAATAATGGTAGAACAGGGAGAGGCTGGGAACCTGAATCCCTGAGAACATTTAGAGCAGCTGTGCCAGCCCTGGACAACCCAATTCAGGAAGGACTCCCTGTTATAGAGGTGGCAGTGGCCCCTTTCCGCTGTGAGGCCCTTGCAGCCCAGTGCTATTCAGGACACACCTTCCCTTAGGGGCTTATAGCATGGCTTTCTGTGGTTGTTTCCATTTTCCTTGGCATTATAAAGGCTGAGAAGAGAGGCTGAGTCTGTTCCTTAGATGGGCTCCTTACCTCTCAGCTTCTCTCCAGTACCCCCAACTACCAGGCATCAGTAATAACTGAAATGCTAGGATCTGGTATTTGCAAAGAGGCCCCTGCAGTCTCTGCTGTAGGCCAGGAAAGCAGGACAACACCCCTGAGGAGCCCGGGGGTTGGCTTCCTCTGGTGATGGCTCCCTTGACAGGTCTTCTCTATTCCTCCCACCTTCAACAGATCCTTTTGAGCGGGACACTGGGCACTAATGATGGTCAGGAAGGGATAGAGTCAAGACCTTTAGGTTTATCTTTGAAGCAACACTGAAGGATCAGGAGACAGGTCTGCCTTAGGATAGGCAATGCTGTTTCCTAGTGATTACTCGCAAGGCCACTGAGGACCTCGGTGCATGGAGGGACTGTCCTGCAATGGTCACTTCATAGTTAAGTGGGGATGTCCCTCAGTGGGGCTGAGGGGATCAAGGGCAGGGCAGGGAAGGTGAGCGGGTTCAGCATCCGGGGAGGTGGGTGTTACTGCCCTGGCCGACAGACAGGAGGTAGGCTGGGAGGTCCCACAGCAACCCTCATGCCACACAGCAAAGAAGCAGCAGTGCCCAGGCCTTTCCATGCCCACACTCTTACAGCATATGCTTGCTGTACCACAGTGACACTTGTTCAGCAGCCCAGCACTTCTGCTCAGACCTAGTCTGTCCCCTAGCAGCCCCTAGACATCACACACAGCCTCCAAGACTAGTTCTAACCCACCTCTCCCTTAGTCTCTCTGTCTGTTCTTCCAAATTGGAATAATTGCTCCCTTCCTGAATGCAGCTCATGCCTGCTTGGTGTATATCCCGCCTTGGTGGGGTTGTCTGTCTCCCCTACAAGGTAGTGAGAACCCTAAGGCAGGGATGCTGTCATCTTTGGGGCCCCCAAACCTGAATGTAACAGGTGCTTTCCATGCATTTACTGAGCTAACCCTTGGCCCCCAAACAAATGCTGCAGGACCACTGAACTTCAGGCTGATATGAGGTACAGTGAGCAAGGTCACTAACTTGACAAGGGTGGCACAGGGAACATGTTGCTAGCAATACTTAAAGCCTAAAAGTCTGCAGAGCATTTGTGTTCTCTCCAAATGTATGAGGGTCTGACATGCTGCACAGAAGTTACCCAGCCGGTGGGAGCCACTTATACGTGCTTTGCTTCTGCTTGTGCAGAAGGTGGCACTGGAGTACTTGCTCTGCAGTGGATCGTGGGGCCTGGATGGGTCAATGTGCAGTGCTGGCCACAAGAGAACAGTGGAGGCAGGGACCCCCACTGCTCTGAGGAGTAACCCAGTGGGCAGAGCTGCAGCAGCCCAAGGCACAGCCACACAGAACCAAGGACTGGGACCAAAACTCACCTTTGGGAAAAGTAAGTTGTCAGAGGTGAAATTACTCTCACCTCTGCAACACTCCCCTGAGAGAAGTCAAGTGACAGCCCTTCCACCTTCATTCTTTTATAGAAGGGCACCTGCATATTCACCTTGAAACACCAAAAAGCAGTATCTGGAAGGCCTGGAAGAAAGCTCGATGCCTTCTGTGAGGAGGGGACTGGGCATCTGAGTACTCTGCTCAGCAACTAAAGATGTCAGACCTGGGACTTTCATCTTCCCTAACCGCAGAGAGTCTCTGGGGAGACTGGACAGAAGGGCCTAGATCTTGGCTGGGATCCCAGGGCCTGAAAAAGGCCCCCCACATTGCCCAAGGGCTGTGGTAAGCATTGAGAAACCCACAAAGGCCAAAAGTCTGAGAGACTACAAAAAAGGCAGAAATGCCTCTCAGGCCTTCACGGCTAAATATTGTTTTCTGTGACCCAAGTGAGATGTCTGTAAATGATGTGGAAAAATGATCTGATATTCCCATTACAGCTGCAGCAACCCTGCTTTCCTTTTCCTTCTGGGACTCACATCGCTGCCTGGTTAGCCACCACGCATTTCCTCAGACCACATCCAAAGGCAGGGACCCTGAAACCATCAGTCCTGCCTGTCTTTTAGTCCCTTGGGGGATTCTCTGTCTAAACCAGAAACAGGAGTGACAAGAGGATGAGTTTCCTCCTCTTCCCTCAGCTAGTCAGTAGTTAACACGAGAAAACAGCAACCATTCCAGTCAGAATCCCACCATTTCCACAGCAAAGACACATATTGCACTGATGGAAGACAGGCTCCACATGAATGTCTGACTGGTGGCTTGGAATTGTGCAGTGCACAGCCTGTGCAGCTGGCCTGGAGAGCCTGTCTGCAGCACTGAAATGACTATTTGTGGGAAACAGTTGTAATAGTTTAAAAGAAAATATCAACGTTTTGATTCAAAAGCTTACTCTAGAGCAGAGCTTGGCAAAATTTTTCCACAAAGTGTTAGTCAGTAAATATTTTAGGCTCTTCAGACCACACAGTCTCTGTGGTTACTACTCAACTTTGCCCTTGTAGTGCAAAAGCAGTAGCCACAGATAATACATCAGTGAATGAATGTGGCTGTGTTCCAATAAAACTTTATTTACAAAACCAGGCAGTGGGCCATAGTTTGCTGACCCCTGCTCTAGGGACTTAAAAAAAATTATCTCTAAGATGAATTATATCCATATAAAATATATATACACGTGAAAGGGGAAAATAGTAAAGGCTCTTTAAGTGTGGTAGGAATTATTAATTTGCTTTGTATTTTAAATTAAGAGTTGTCTTTGATACTGTTATTTCCAATGATAACATTTATACATACATACCCATTTACATGCCATATACACACAAAACCCCTCACTGTGCGTGGGTGTGCTCTCCATGGAGGACCCCACTTTCTGCCTCCCTGTGCCCTCCGATGCCCACCCCTACCCTATACATTGTCTCTCAGGTGGCGGCGGGCATACCTTGTTCTCTTTGTTGATCTCTCTGCTCCATGGACACAAGGGCAGAGAAATGCGCTTGATCGTAGGCAAGAACCAGAGGAGAGCAGTGGCATCTGTTGGGAGGCACCTCCAAGGGCAGGTAAATCCCTCCGAATGGGATTGGAGCAAATGCTGTGGACAGAAATGGTGAGGGCATGTGGAGCCTGAAGGGTACATGGGTGGCATCCCTGACCACCCTGCACGATGTGGTGGGGCAGAGGGAAGGGAGGGTGGTCTCAGACCATAGCCTTAGGTGTCAGCTGCTCCAGCCACATGGCAGTAAGCTGGGTGTTGCCCACTTGACAATGGGTGAGGCTCACAGGTACCAGTGGGATGAAACCTGCGGTCCCATGCATGCCCAGGGAACCTCTCACTCCCTCCTGCCTCCATGGCAGAGTCCTCCTGGCTCTTGTCAGGCTGTGCCCTGGGAACAAGAGGGACAGGGCTGAGGGCTTTTTGCTGTAATCTTCCCAGGGACAGCCTGTTGTCCTGAGACCTGCACAGGTGACCAAGAACTCACAATGGTCATCAATGACATCCACTGATGACTGCCTGGAAATCCGTGTTTTTCTGGATGAGCTTCTTCCTCTCCGTGTATTCATGAAAGCATTTGTATACAGAACAAAATCTTTGCTTGCTTGTTCTATATTTTGAGAAGCTATTCTGTTGAGTCCAAAGGAACCAACCAGAAAACTCCAGAACCAAATTGTGAGTCAGATGGGAAATGAGAGATGGGGATTGGCTCCTTTAGCAACTGGGACATAATCATGTTCATTCCCTTACTCATCAAAGAGAGGGAAGAGAGACTTAAACCCTCACTGAAATAGAATAACTCCCAGAAATATCTGCCCTGATACAGCATATGCTGTTTAATCATAAAGAACTTTGCCTCTTGGCCTTGGAATCAGTGACTCACTCACTGTATTTCTGTGAGCTGAATGAAACAACAATCAGTTCCGTGAGGCTTTTGAGGAACTCTTAGGTTTCCTTCTACTCACCCTGCTTTATCCACATTGGTTTTTTTTTTTTGAACAATCTGAAAAAGTTTTATTTTTGTTCTTTTACTTTAAAATCTTTTATTGGAAGCAATAAGCATATATTGAGGAATGTGGGCTCCAGTATTAGATCACTTGGGTCTTAATACTATGTAATTTTCTTTTTATTTTCCTAACTGTCCAATTTCCTTTTTTATTTTATTTTTAATCATTATTCGATGTACTATATGTTGGCTAATTGAACATAATAAAAAAAAAACACACATTGGTTTTTGGTCGTGTTTCTGCCCACGGGCTGAGAGGTGGGGTAGGTCCTCTTTCAAGAGGGCTGTACTCTTGAGCACAGGTAGGATGGAAAGAAGCATGGACCCAGCCTTGTGGGATCTGATGGGTACAGGTTCATGTGCCCAGGGACCCCAATGAGGGTCCTGGCTCTGCACCCAGAGAGGCTGAAGACCTCAGCAGCCCCTGTTGCTGGGCTGCACAGGGAGGGAAGTGGCACTGGGCAAGACCAATGTACTCCCAGCTCCCTTCCACCATGACAGCAGTGGCTCCAACTGGTCTTCTTTGGCAGTTGTGATTTAGCATGAAGACCCTCATCCTGATTTGTAAGCCCACGACTTTTGTTAAGGCTTTGGTTTAAATTTAAGTTAGGCTGGAGGGATAAGTCACTGTCTGGCATTCGCCTAGCAAGGAGACCTTTTCAAGAAGTGAAGAAAGGGAAACATGGCGCCGAAAGGGACTGGCTCGTGCTGGTAATGGAAGTGAAGGGAAGGTGAAAACAGTGTGGGAGGGGCTGGAAATGGGGAGTTTTGTTGAGAGGCTGGGGCAATTGCACTGGGGGTGACCTTTCTGGCCCACCTTCCCTGGCCCCTCTTCTTTTCCTTCTCCTTAGGTAGCATGGCTGCCTCGTGGACTTCTCAAGTGGCCTTGCCCCTCACTCTGGCAGAAAAGCTGCCCTGGGTTGGCCTGGTTCCTCCAAGGCCTTAGTCGAGGGCTGGGGCACATTGTGTAGCCTCTCTGGGCTTCAGTGTCCACTCTGGGAGGGTGTGGGGAGGGCTGAGGGAGAGAGCACGTGCAAAGGGGCCATGAAAGCCAGTGCTTGGCTCTCGGCGGGCGGGGGGGCAGGCGATAAGCAGCCCTTGCTGTCCTTTCCTTCTTCTCCAGTCCCAATTCCGCCCTGTAACTTCATGCTTTCTGTCTTTTTTTCCCTTTGACACACATAGGCTGCAGAGGGTAGGAGGGGACTAGAGTGGCTGGTGGCCCTGGGATGAGGCCTGCCCTGGAGGGGTGTGGGCGGCCTGCCTCACTCTGAGCACACAGGTGGGGGGTGGGAGACCCTCTGGATTTAGTTCCATCTGTCACTCAGACGGATTTCTCATGGCCACCTGCCATTGACACAAAGTCTAGATGGATGCGTGGGTGACCAAGAGTAACCCCTCCTGCCACTGGGGACGAAAAAGAAACACAGCAAGTCGAGGAGAAATGAGAAATACTACAATCTTCATCCATACAGAATAAGGCTCTGTGGCTTTCTGGGATCCTCAACTCATACGTTAGGCTGTCTCTTCCTTAACTGGGATGTTATGTTTTCTGGGTCATGCGTCATATATGGCTGTTTTATTAATGTATCAACTTACCTTCTCCACCTGAGTCCCTCAGCATTGTATCTGCTACGACAACTATTGGTCTTCTTAATATATGGGCGAGGACGAACACATGGAACTCCTCTAGACTCTCGTACACGGGGTCCTCAGAGTTGTCCACACTAGGAGACAAAGCAAAGCAAGCCTGAGTTAGGGTGGGGGATGTTCAAGACAACACCCTCCATCTAGGTCCTACCTCCATGGACCCTGCCAGTTGAGGCCCACGGAGTCCACCTCCCTGCCACGCCACCCACTGATGGCAAAAACACAAGACCCAGCTCCTCAACCCCACCCTGCGGTGGTCTCAGGGGACAATGGGAGAGAAGCTTCTGGTGATGGCTGCTGGCCACCTTTAAGACAAGATTCCCCTGGCGACAGAGACAGCCCACACAGAACACGTGGCAACATGGGGACTTATTATCTGGAGGCATTTAACAAGGAAGCAGTGGGGGCAGGAGGGATGGAGGCTTCCTTTTTTGGGTCATCCCTATGTCCAGCAGCTTGAGCTGAAGCCTTACTCATCAGGAGCACAAGTGTATCTGTGCACATCAGGTGGGCTGGTGGGGCCCACTGTTACAAAGATCTGGGGCCTTTCTAGGAAACACTCCCCCCAGAACAGAAGGGCAGTGAGGTTACCTGGATTTCAATCCTCAGACCAGGAGGGGAGCGACTCTGACCCAGGCTACTTGGGCCCTCCACAGCCCACAGCCCTGAATCATGTCTGAGGCTCAGGGAAAGAGTTGGCTCCAAGAAATGCATTCACTTAGACTCAAGGTATTTGGACAGAAGACTGTAGCCTTGATGTTCTCCAACAATCCAGCCACCCCAAGGGAAGAGCCCATCGAGACGAGAGAGTTAGAGCTCACAGCTTGATGGGGCCTCTGCAGCATCCATGGTGCCACCCAAGGTGGCAGCACCCACACAAGACCCTCAGGTGGCATCTGGACTTGTTCTGGAGCACTTGGAGGATACCCAGGATTCACTGAGGGAGGTCTGTGAGCACTGGAGCAGGTAAGGCCAGAGCTAGTGAGTGAGGCCCTGCTGGAGAATCCAGGGTGGGGGGCCTGGGGAAATAGCTGTACGTTCATAGCCCACAGCTAACTGCTTGAATTACTTCTAGAACAAAAACTGTGACTCTTCAGGAATGCATCAACGACCTGGGAAGTTTTTTTTTTTAAGATTTGATTTATTTATTTGACAGAGAGAGACACAGTGAGAGAGGGAACACAAGTAGGGGGAGCGGGAGAGGGAGAAGCAGGCTTCTGGTGGAGCAGGGAGCCCGATGTGGGGCTCGATCCCAGGACCCTGAGCTGAAGCAAAGGCAGACCTTAATGACTGAGCCACCCAGGCGCCCCGGACCTGGGAAGTTTTGTTGTTATTGTACCTATTTTTTTTTGTTTGTTTGTTTATTTATTTTTGCTGACTCAAAATGCCTTACTTTTATACTTAAAAATACTTGACAGCAACCAAAAGATGACAAAAAGTTGTGCATATAGGATAAATTACTTTTTTGTTTGTTTGTCTGGAATCATTTGAAGGTAACTTGCCAACCTGAAATCCGGTACCTTGGAAGAGTTTAGGTGCATATCCTATGAACAGAACGTTCTCCTACAAAACTACAACACAGTCATCAAAATCAAGGGTACATCCAATCACTAATACACTGATTGGTCTAATCACCATGACAGACCCCGGCCACAGTCTGCCAACTGTCCCCAAAGTGCCTTTTAAACAAAGACTCCAGCATGCCGCTTTTAGCTACGGTGTCTCATCAGACTTCTTTGGTCTAGAACATTCCTCAGGGGTTCCTTGACTTTCGTGACTTTGACACTTCTGAAGACTACGGGTCTGGTATGTCCTTAGTGTGGGTTCCTCTATTTCCTGTGATTAGATTGTATTGGATTATGCTGTGTCCTTCTCTCAGCGTCCTACCAGGTGGCCTGGGCCTTTGGACTACCCCGTTACTGGTGATGACTTGGGCCACTGCCCTTGGACCATCTGCCAGGCTTCCCCCTACAGAGCTACTCATTTTCCCTCCATCATTAATAAGCCTTTTGTGGGGAGAAATTTCGAATCTATGCATATATTCTACTCCTCACCAAATCTTTATACATTTATTGGTATCACTATGGATTCCTGGCTTCAATTTCATTCAATGAGTTACAATCCATGAGTGGTGATTTTGATGCTCAGATATGCCCTGCTTGGGTTAGTGTGGCTCATTCAAGCTGTGTCCTTGTAACATAGCCCCATCATTTTTCAGAGGGCTTCCTAGCCTTCTAACATAAGAATATGGTCCAGATTCATCTTTTAAAAAATTTTTTAAATTTAAATTCAATTTAATTAACATATAGTATATTATTAATTTCACAAGTAGAATTAGTGATTCATCAGTGACATTTAACACCCAGTGCTCATTACATCACGTGCCCTCCTTAATGCCTGTCACCCAGTTACCCCATCCCCCCACACACCTCCCCTCCAGCAACCCTCAGTTTGTTCCCTAGAGTTAAGAGTCTCTTATGGTTGTCTTCCTCTCTGTTTTCATCTTATTTTATTTTTCTTCCCTTCCCCATGTTCATCTGTTTTGTTTCTTAAATTCCACATAGGAGTGAAATCATATGATAGTTGTCTTTCTCTGACTGACTTATTTTGCTCAGCCTAATACCCTCTAGTTCCATCCATGTCATTGCCAATGGCAAGATTTCATTCTTTTTGATGGCCGAGTAATATTCCATTGTATATATGTACCACTTCTTTATCCGGGTTCATCTTGTACCTTCTCTGCTTCAGCCTTGGATTCAGCCATTTCTCCAAGGAGTTGTTTTTTGTTTTTTTCTTTTTTTAAAATAGTGGATAATGTTGTTTAGAAGCCAAAATATAATCATCACTTTTGGGATGTCATTGCTTCTAGACTCAGTGAATGGAGGGAAGACACGTTGTTTTGTGTGTACACTCACATATGTACACAGATACTTTCATCCGTCATCTCTCTATTAACTTGGAGTGCACTGATACCTCCCATTCCAATCCAATACCCCAATGTTAATTCTTCTCATAACTCCCTTCTCCAACAGTGAGAAACCTGGTTTCTATTCATCTTAAACTATTTCCTTACTTGGTCCATCCCCCCATATGTAAGCAATTCCCCACCTCTGTTGCCACCCCGCCCCCAAGTTGTCCTCTTCACCCTATTGGCTCTGACACTCTGGCTTTGGTCCTACTGACGCCCCCACTTGCCCATTGCAGATGCTCACTTTGCTTTGCCACACTATATGGCTTTAGGACTTAATTTTTCAGGACGGCAAGAGAAGTGGATGAGGAGTATTTTAAATACACATACACATGCCAAGTCTAAACACAATGCTTGTGGGTGTGCTTTTAAAAATATCCCAGATGATTATCTTGTCCAGCCACAGCTGAGAGGGAGGCTGCTGGGTATGTGCGGTTCAAGTGCTTCCAGAAGCTGCTTGCTTGTCCCCCCTAAGCGCTCACAAGCAAGTAGACAGCTGAACAAGATAAAAAGTAGCATGGACAGGAGGGAACACAGAATTACAACCTGCATACTCAGAAAAATATCTCAGTTAGAAATGTGGAGTGTTATTCCTTCCCTAATCCAGTGGATGGAGAGGTCAGCACTGGAAAAAGATGAAGCATCAGAGAGTCAGATATTAATGCTGAGAAGAAGGAATGGCAAGGGGGGGTGGAGCTGAGAGCAGCTCTGGGTTCTCAGTTGCATCTTCACTCCATGACAGAACACTCTGTTGTCTAAATAGCTACACAGAAGGGGTCTTGTTGCAGCAACAGTGCAAGGGTTGACCAATTACGAGACACCACTGTAGTGCCACAGCATTCTGCTCATGCAAAATTTGAAGCAGAGCCATTGTATTTCAAACTGAAAAAACAGCCAATATTTACTGAGCATTTACTATATGCTGGAATGGTAAAAGGCACTGCAGAGGCCCTCAAGTAAGATCTGTCCCTCCATCTGTCTAGCCATTCATCCATCCATCCATCCATCCATCCATCCACACACACATCCATCTGTCTGTCCATCCACCCACTTGTCCATACACATACACATCCATCCATCTATCCACCATCCATTCTTCCATCCATCCACCCATTCACTTGTCCATCCATCCATCCACCCATCCACCCATCTGTCTGTCCATCCCCGGTTCTGTACGAGGGCTATAGCACAGAGTTGGGAGAGGGTGATGGAGAAGAGCCTGGAGCACAGTGACCTTTCTCCACACTGGTTGTGGGGTTGAACAGGAAAGCCGAAGATCAACTGTGAACCTTCAGTGACCCGGAAGTTGGCAGAGAAGGTCCCAGCTGCACCCTAGGGGCAGCTTGAGAATCATAATGTCCTTCCCTCCTTGCTTCTAGCTGCTTGCTTACACATTTTAGGGAGTGTGTTTGAACTGGGGGGGTTGGTGCTTGTTCTGCATTTACTCCTCAACACCACAGCCATGTTCCAGTGCTTCTGGAACTTTGGTGTCTGATCCTGTTCTGTTGAATTCAGGCTGAGAACATTGGCTCAACAACTCCTCAGGCTGTTCCGATGGGCAAACGGGATCATTTCTGGGATGAGACTTTGGAACTGTGACCTGCCCACGTGAATTACTGTGATTGAGCCCACTGGCAGAAATCAGCTCTAGTGAAGCCAATCCTGAAAATTCTCTTCCACTTCATACCCAGAGGCTTAACATCTTCCTGTGAGCTCACTGAGAAAATGTTAGACCTGGGATTGTAAACAGAATCTGGCCTTTGGGAAAAGACAGGTAAAAACCCCTAAAATTGGTGTTTACTGGTAAGAAGACTAACATGCAAGTATAACTACTTCATCCTCAAAGAGACTGGGCATGCCCCCAACAACTTCCTAATGTTTCGGTGACATAACACACACGCACTACTCACCCTCTTCTGCAACATTACCCAGGGAGAGAGAAGTCCTGAGAATAAGGCCACACCATCCACCTAGTGAAAACCCCCTGGGGAAGATGCGGTGAAAGGTGACCAGGGCACAGGCCAGGTTGGGAGCTTCCTCCAGGTAGGCATGAAGCAAAGATGGTGGCGTGAGGTCCTGATGGTATCTCAAGGTCACAGAGGATGGTGG